ACATTCAATGAAAAGGGTCGGTCTCCAAGGAACACGGCCAGTTATGATGTTTCTGGTTTCTTCCCAGTAACTAGAAACGGGTATTTAAGCCCGTACATATGAAAGCCTTCAAGAACACAGCCTATGCCTGACCTAGGCTGGCTTCTCGATTTGACTTGTTTGGGCATTCGAGGCACAAGTATATGGGCGGCAAGGAGAAGATGGGCCTATGTAACCTTCTGTGGGTGTTACATGGAGATTTTAATGAGTCCCTCGAAAGGGGAGGTTACCTTGCAGAACTCTATTGTTCACCAATTATGTCTAGCATGTGGCTGCGACTGATGGGAATAGACGACGATGTTCTTGGAAATGTTGGAAGGGAGACCAGATGCACATATGCCATCCTTGAACGAAGGGTCGCCGGTACTATGTCTACTGAAACTCTGTTTGGGTTCTCTTATGGGTATTTGAAGCGTGATAGCATCTTTAAATGCTTGAAAGATGTTTGTTAATCAGTACCTTGGTTCCTTGACAGAGATAATGCGACTATACATTTAATACTGAATGGCATGAAGTAACTTAATTTGCTAATCCGCCGAGAGGAAAGAAACTCGAGATGAAGATCGTCTCCCCCGAAACGATCTCAAATCAAATCAAAGAGAAGATTTGGGTGGTGGATGTTTCGAGATACGCCAAACCAATTGTCTCCGGAACAATGCTTTGAGTATCTTTTAGACGTCGACCTTGTTTTCTACTCCCGAACAACAACCTACGGCTGCCTTTGACTTCACTTTTTCCTTGCCAACAGGGCTCTCAAGTTTGAAAGAATGATCTATTGCGAAAATTTTGAGCACGGTTGGTCTATCCTCTTTCAGGAACAAACAGGAACCAGGTAGGCGATGCGAAGAAACAATAGACAAGGAGACGAAAAAAACCCAGCGACAGAGATGGACAGGGCCTATCTGTATATATCTTACCCAGCATACACGATGGTAGACGTCTCCTTGATTCAGATATCAGTTCGAAAAAGCAGCTCAGTTGCAAAATCATCATCATGTCGCACAGAGAAGCAAATCGGAACCTCCTGAGCCTCAAGGGCATCCTACACTCGGACGAAGGTCCCGTCGGCGACGAACCCAACTTCCGATCTCTGCGAGACGGCCGTAGGTATATCACTGCGAGAGATGCTGACGGCATTAGAGACGTGACGTTTGTCGGCTTTCCTCAACTCGATGCTACCCGGGAAGAGAAGCTTGCGAATCTCGCAGCGGACTTGGTAAAGCCCACCAAAGAGGCTTCTCCTGTAAGTTCAACCTACCCGTCCTCCCCGAGTTCATGAATGAGATGCTGACACACGGTGGGTATAGAAAACGATTGTAAGGTATCTCGACTTCCTTCCAAAAGACAAGGTCTTCATCGTCGAGAGACTTCCCACGCAGGGATTATGGCGATCCGCGAGAGGTACTACACAAGACCATATAGTCCTCGACGTAGCTTGGGACCTCCTCCTTGCCCTCGCCTACCTCCACGCAACAGGGACTGCACACGGAGACGTTCGCCTCCATAACGTATTCCCCTTCCCCTCAGAAGACTCGTCGCGCGTTCGCTTCAAGCTCTTCGGACACGGCCTCGTTCCAGAAGTCCTGAGCCACAACTTACGCAACGACTGCTACACGGCCCCTGAGCTACGCTGTCCAGGCAAGTATTACGGCTTCAGCGCCAACACAAAGCCGACGTTCGAATCCGACATTTGGATGCTGGGCATGGTCCTCTGGCACTGTCACCGATTCGGCGTTTACTACGACGGCCGCGGATCCGCGAGGGAACGGTGGGAGTCGGATAGGCTGATCCAGCCTGACCTGACCGATGGCGCAAAATTGGGCATTCACCCACTGGCTCCCCGGGGCCGTGGCTGTGAGCCCTCGCCTCACCGATTCGTCGAGGACCTGCTTCATAAGATGCTCACTCCAGATCCTAAGCGGCGATGGACTGCTGCGGACTTGCTGGAGCAGATGAAGATGCAGAAGAATTACACGCCCGCGGAAGGTGATATGAAGCGGGACCTGGCCGATCTTCAGGCCGCTCTGAAAGGTGAGAAATATGACACGTTTAGAAGGATGGCGGCCACGTTGAGAGAGGCTTCGCGCAGATCTTGGACGAGGTTGGGAGGATGGATGTTCTTGCTCGCTTTCTTCTTGGTAATCCTGTGAGGGGGTACTTTCAGGAAGATAGATGTTTCCTTGCTAGTACTCAGGACTTTAGAGGGACTCTGTATTGTGTTCAAAACTTGCTTGGAATTTCTGGCGTACGGGATATTGGAAGAGACGAATAAAACTCTCTGGCTAAGCTGCTATGATGTTATTCCTTTTCAGACGTCTGTGACCAGCCACATCTCTCAGTCGTAGTGTGTATTTTATCACTTGAACAAAGTGCCAGCCAGATGCATGGCATATTGGTCAAGTATCTGCGTCGCCAGAATCCAGCTATGATAAATGAACAACTGGCTGCTTAGCTGTCCACGACAGATGAGCCGAGACTTCCTGCGCCGAGCGCCAGTCACAAACATGATCACGTCTGGTTTCATGCTGCCTTATGATGGCAGACTCTCACAAGGTCATTACTGAGATAGTATGGTTAGTCTTTGGTGATGAAGGTTCTAACAACATCTCAGCATCAATAAGATGAAATAATATATCACGAGTCTCGCATGAGTAGATGCTCTAAGCTATCTCATTACAAAGAAAGTCAAAAGCTCTCATATACCCTAGGTCGCGCATACGAGCCACGGTAGCCACGGGTTATGTAAGAAAACAGAATAAAAAAGCCTTCCTTGCGCTCGTCAGTGAAGTCATCCTGTACAACACCCCGAAGCTGTTCACGGGATTGGAGGGCCGCTGAGAGGGAGATGACTTCAGTCTCGGCTTCGTGAGGAGGATGACAGGCTAGGCTCAAACTCTGTTGCCAAGCCGGCCTGCTTGTCAACACAAATCTGTAAAGATGCAAGATGAAAGTCATTTGTAAGAGACCATGATTATACCGGAACCAGTTCTCTACTGGATTCTTTGCTAGCTGATCTCATGACGTACCCTATTAGATATCGAGGACCTAACAACCAAACGTATTCATCGGCACATTCTACTTTGAGGCATGCTACAACCATCACCATCAAACTCGTATTACCGAACCTCAAGTCTTCCCCCATAAGAAACCCGTCGCTTTAGACCATACCTGCGTGTCGTCACACCCGTAGGCCTCAATACGCATTGGCCAATCGCTGAACATCACGTCGCAAGCACGCGTAGACTAGCCCACCTCTAAAACCTCACCCACTTCGTCATTCGCCCATCTCCTGTTCTGTCTCACACAGATCTAACACAATCTAAACGGCCAACACACCCTCCAATAGACGGCAATGAGGTTCCAGGCCTTGCCATCACTCACTTTCCAAAATCCCAAGGATCCATTGTCCACCTGTCGGGACGTTCCTCTCCCGACTCAAGTCGTAATGCAGATGTCCATCGAATCCCCAGATTGCCACCTACCAGAAGTGACATACGGCTCTTCATCCGAGGCAATAACTCAATCGATCAATCGCTTGATCGGAGGCAAAAGAGAGCCACAGAAACAGAGCCTCCTTTCGACAGGCAGGCAAACGATTGGCCGAGGGAACCGTCAAAAGGGTGAGGGCGAAGAGCAAAGGGAATCCCTATGCCACTCTCTTCCAAACCACCCGCGTGGTCCTCTGTGCATCAGAGTTCCGGGGATCGAATCCGAGCCAAGGAAAGCTTGTCTCGCTCTTCCCTGTCTGTCTGCACACAACCACACAACGTCCAAGTAATATCACAACCACACCACGGGTTCCCGGTCTGACAAGAAGTCTTCCATATCTTCTCCTCACCTTGTTATCTGATCCTTTCCCCCGCAAGATTGCGAACGTTTGACCATCTGCCCTCTTGTCATACAACTCACATTTATCGCGCGGTATCGAGTGAACTAACTTGCTTACTTTCATCGAATGCGCCTCTCGGTCATCCTGCAAGCCCTCACCGACTCTCAGACCATCCGATAAAACCTCCCTCTCACCCAAATCCTTTGCGCTCCGTCCTCCCATAAATCTCACCCATCACCCATCAAACCACGTCTGTTTCCATCCGACCCTATCAACAAGTCAATACCTAACCCGTCCCTCCGTTCGTCTTCTGCCTTTCTCCCCCCCAAAGTTCTTGACTCGCCCGTCTCTCTTCCCCTCCCCTCCATCCCACAAGAAAGATCCCTGTGTTGACGGCATCGTCCCGAGCCAGCCGTAGACCGGACTTGTTTCTAACCTATCTGCTGCTCCTCCTCCCACACGCTGCGCAAGTTACCCAAGCCGTACGTCTGCCGCAGAAAGAGAATTACGCACAGCCGCCGTCGGCGCTGTCCTTGCAGTAGGCTTTTACTACGCATATAGTCGGAAAAACTCGCTGCGCTTCTCTCTCTCCCTCTGCGTGACCAACCCACTAAGAAACCCAAAGGCTCGCGCCAGATTCCCACTCAAGACCGACGTGCCGGGTTGACCCTCGCTCGGACGATCCCAACTCCTCAGAGTTCGGGCTCTGATACCGGGGGAAGAAGCCCAACGAGCCGTCTCCCAAAGTTTCATTTGCTTTTCGCACCGCCTACTAGCCTCCAGATACGGGCTCATCGTCATTTACATTCATTAATCCTCGCCCTCATTCTCCTCTTAGTGGTCTCATTTCCCCTTTTACCTCGACCTCCGGTCCAAGTAATCTCCTGTTACAGGTTTCCTGTCACCGAGCTTTCTCTTCAAACCACCAAAGAACCTGTCTCACTTGGATAGGCCGGTCTCGTTGACGGCGTCAACACACCCGAGACATCTCACAACAACACGAATACCTACCTAGCTCTCATCTCTAAACGACGCACACACTGCTGTTCACATATCACCGCGCATGTCTCAGTCTAGTAGCAGCCACCGCAGTCGCGCCCTCATAAACACAGCCCGGTCGAGAAACACAACCATGGCCCGGACGCGGCGCTCCTACTCCCCATCCTCCCGCTCGCGCTCCTCCTCCGCGGGACCCCGCGATCACCACAAGAAACCCGGCATAAAAACCGCAGCCGTCTTCATCGCCGCCATTGCCGTCGCCTCCCTCGCCGTCCACAAGCTCTGGCCGCGCGGCATAATTCACTCAGAAAAGGAGCACTGGGAACACTCGCCACCACCAGGTGGCCGCCGGTCCCGCAGGCACAACGCCATACGGGACCGCCACAACGGGTATATCGACTACGACGACCACAACGTCTGGGACCGCAACGACTACCCCCGCGACGGACGGAGGCTGTCCGAGAGGGAGTACCACCCTCCCCGTAGCCGCGGCGGCAGACGGTCGCGCGGCTATGGAAGTGAGAGCGAAGGGGATTCGTATTACTCTGATGACTACCTCCCGTCTCCGAGCGAGCGCTTCGAAAGACGAGGTAGAATCGAAGGGGATAGCCGAGGGCGATCGCGTGGAGTCGGCGCGGAGGGGGAGAATGAGATGGTGAGATATGAGAAGCAGTCAAACAGGTCAGAAGCTGCCGGGAGTCGATTCGTGGAGGAGCGTCTACCAAGGCCGCGATACAATGAAGCCGTGGAGGATTGGAGCCGGCGCGGTGATCAACGATTTCCTTCACCACCCCGCCAGCCAGAGTACGTGGACCGAAGGTCCCGGCGGAGGTCTGATTATTATTAGCCGTTTGAATTCATGCGGATGTGAGTCGACGGCATCACAGTCGCAACCTTTGGAGCAGCCGGTGAAATAAAGCCAAGTAAGATGAATGGCTACGAAGACATGCTATTTGGCCATACTATTTAAGCCGGATTTCCTGCCAGTTTCCACACCATTCCGTTGTACTCCTTCACCTGCGCCAAATCGCCCTTTCTTCCTTTATACTCTCGCTTCTCCCAAATGCAATGCACTCATTATGTTCATCTATTCCTCGGCGGTCGATACAATAGCGTTGTTTGCTTCCACGGGAGGTTCCACAGAAGGTTCACTTTCGGCGGCTGGACTTGGCGGTTGCTCCATCAAGCTCATGGCCTCATCCACGGCAGCTTGCCAGCCTTCTCCTGCAGTTCTCATGACCAGAGGAGTGCTGATTTCTGCGGCAAAATAGTTCTCCTTGCGCATGTTGCCGCGCGCGACACCCTCCAATGCCGAATAGGCGGCACGAGTACTACGCATTCTCTTCCCTTGCCTGCCGCCTTCACTGAATAGACCACTCCGTTGCATGCGATTCTGCATGAGACGATAATCGTAGTGTATGATACTGCGCACATAGGGTGCCACCTCAAGAGTGATCATACGCATAGTGCGGTCAAAAACTGACGGCTCGAGACTGGTGGCCATCATAGCCGCTGCTTTCTCAGAGATAGCGATGGGATCGAAAGCCATGGCCATATCATAGCGGTTGATCACTGCTTCTTCTCGGGAAGGAGCGACAAAGAACTTTTTCATTTGGCGAATTGCGCTGTGCTCTTGGAAACAATCCATATTGACTGTACTGCCGTGTCGTAGGGGTGCGGATTGGAGAAGCTGTCGAGCGGCGCATTTGAGACCGGTGGCGATAGTGGTGGCCGTGTGAGTGTAGTCAGTTTGGAATGGGGCCTCAAGTAGGCGCCGGCCTAAAATGAAGTCATCACGGGTTTTGATAGGGAGATCTGGTTGTGTGGGATCGAGAGGTTCCTGCGTATCTGTTAGCCATAGTCGCACGATGTTGAGCGTCATTCAGACTACTCACCTGGAACTTGAGGCCAAAGTCCCCATCAGAGCAGACATCAGCCGCGCTCATGAGATCAGAGAACTCGGAGAACACGTCTAGCGCGACAGCCCTCTCGCTGGGCGAAGAAGTCATCACGCTGTCTGCCCACGAGGCCATGTCAAGTGAATCATGCCAGTTGCTTAAATCCATTCCGAGGCCCTGCCAGCATTGGCTCACCAATTCTTCTTCAGCAGCACGCACGCTGGGAACCACTGCTCGGTCACGGCTGATCCATCCCATGCCCTCCAAGTACGTTCCCTCGCTGACTACACGCACGACATCGCCATTCTCATCTTTGTCGCAGCCTTTCGGCCATCGCGGATAGAACCAGTCAAAGCCGCCTCGACGATCGCCAACTCCTAGCTGACACCAGTAGTTGAGCTCCATGAGAGACGCTCGAAGATCGTTACCCTTTGATTCGTAGAGGGCGCTCACGGCTGGCCGGCTAAGAGCATGACCCTCATTGGCTGCAATGAGTAGGAGTACATCGACCGCCAAGAGCGCTGGAGGTGGTGTGAAGCGGAGGATTCCATAAAGCATGAAGCTGTGAAATGGAACCAGAGTCTCGTCGTTGCAAGTCATGACGAATGGTCTTTTGGACTGCGAGACTAAGTTGATGATGGTAGCCCAAAATTGCTTGTCCTCTTCGTAGAGAAGGTCGACCTCTTCAAGGAGAATTAACGATTGCTTTTGGCTCTGAGTCTTTGCCTTTGCGGACTTGGATGCCTCGGACGGCTGGTCGGCAGGCTGTGGTACCGCTTCTGGTTTGAGAACCGCCTTTGCCTTGAAGAACGATGTCATAGTGCCTTGCTTGCCAGATTTGATGTCCTTTGCTGTCTCGTCATCGGCGTTGTCCCCGGCATCAACCTTGCCGCCTTGGCGGTTATGTTGAACAAGGTGATTCTGCGTCATGTCTCCAATCTTCTCCATGACGTCTTTGCCGTTGCGGCGACTGCTGGCATTGATCTCGAATATCTCGAAGCCGAGCTCCTTTGCTACAGCGTAGACTGCAGCCGTCTTGCCACTGCCATGAGGTCCGCTAAGGACAATTGCATTGGTCAGGCGGCTCGCATCTTTCGCAACATCGCGGCGAACTACAGTCTTCTTCGGGCCACCATGAACAGGTGTCGGTAGCCATTCATCCTCGTCGTCAGAGACCGAAGGTAGGAAATCTACTTCATCACCATCTGAAACGATGAATCCATCCATCTTGGCGCGCTTCCGCTTCTTCTTTGCCGCCGAACCCATTTTTGTACCGGAGGCGGAAGTGGAAGCACCTGTGTTGACTGATTGAACGGTTAAGGTCTGCAACCACTCCTTCAGCAACACGCCCTCTTCGAATTGAAGGACTTCTTCTCCGCTGATTGGTGCGTATTTATGTGCCCACGGAAGGTCCTCGCATTGCGACCTGTCATAGGCTGAGAGATTGGTTTCGAGCATGTTGTAAAGGCGGGCCACTGAAGGATGGGGTTTCCGGTTGGACGCAGTAAGTAGCTCATCATCACTGTCTGCACTCGAAGTCACTGGCAGAACAGATTTAAGCTCTCGCTTGATCCTTTGCCGAAGCTTGCGACCGCTTTCAAAGTGCTTCTCGGGAAGGCGGAGCTCCGCGGGTGGCGGCTCATAGTCCTCTGCGGCCTCCTGGACTGACTTCTTGATGCTCAGAGTGTTTAGCGATTTGGCAAGCTGATCTATGACAGATTCACCAGGGTAGATGTGTGTAGTTTGCCCCTTAGATTTCCGGGACGAAACCGGGGCGTCTTTTGCAACTGGGAGACGCTCTTCTTCGGGAAGAAGCCCCCGTACGTGTGCCATCCCCTGGGTCGGCCATGCGGGGTGGCAGGCGCCTGGAACTTTGAGGCCCATAGATCGGACACCGAATTGTGGAAGCTGAATCTTGCCAGCTATTGGGGCTAGCCGCTGCTTTCTGGGAGAGCATGGGGTGGATGAGAATATGGTGGCTCTAGGCGGTTTGGGAGCGGCGGAAGGCGCGTCCACCAACTTTACAGCCTTCTTGGCATTGCCCAGAAACAGAGGATGAGTGTCCTTCGTTTTTGATTTGTCCTGGTCCTGCTTGGAGACCCTCGCACGAGGCCCTCGGGGGGTCGTTTTCGTTGGAGTCGTGAGGATCTGCTCAATCTTTGAGCCTATGCGTTCGCGGGACGCCACATCAATTCCATACTTGATGGTTACGATACGGGTGGGTTTGGCCAGTGACTTGGATGCTTTTGCGCCTTTGAATGTTTCTGCAGGGCTTATTTTGGGCTTCGGAGGCGAGCCAATTGTGCCGGTCTTTGGATTGAATTTGAGCACTTTGGTAGGTTTTTTGGGTTCCTCTCCAGCAACAGGAGCTGCATTCGTCGCGTTCAAAGTCGTATCTGAAGGGTTATCAATGATGTTCAAAAGAGAAACAGGAGCCTGGTTTAGTGGAAGGGCAGCTACATCGGGCTGTATCGGTGCGGGATCGGGCGTTTGTGGGACTTCGTTGGCAAGCGAGGTCGTCGGCACGCTGTTGACCTGGGAGAAGTGGCTCGTAATATCAACAGATGGGATGTTTGGCTTCTTTCTGGGCCGCCCTCTTTTCTTCCCAGAACTTGGAGGGTTGCCGGCACCGGTCTTTTGCCTCTTGCGACCTTGTTCATCCTCGCCTATGTCCGATGACGCTGGCTCAACGTCGCTGGATGGTTGCTGAGATGCACGTGCTTGCTTTCGAGATCGAACGGGCTTGCTTTTCAAAGGTGTGCTGTTGACAGACTGAGGTTGGTCGTCGGTACTCGAATCGGTTCTCGGTGCGTCGGCGGTCTTCCCAGGGACGAAGAATGGGTGAAGCTTCGAGGCGTGGGAGGCGTCCAGCCCATCTGGGGCCATGTTGGCTACAAGGAGAGTTCCCATGAGATCGTGCGATGCTATTATGGAAGTACGTTTTAGCATGCAGTTATGGCAACATCAGTAGAGCAATGGAGGCGTATTTGTTATATGCACAGGAGACTTGAGAACTTACGCCAGAGCCGTCGCGCCTTTAGACTACGTCAGCGGGCATGCAACTGATCAGGAATTGATGAGTGACGAAAGATGTTTGCGATCCAGATTGGATGAAGTATCAACAACCAGAAGTTTGGCACCGTCTATTATATAAAACAGAACATAACAGAGACTTCCTCCGAAGTTCAATATGGTAGCGCAAATCGATGGGTGCGAGAAGTCGAGGTGGGTGGGTTGTCTAAGGATCGAGTGCACCAGTCGCGTGAGTCGCGTCTTCGAATCGCCGGGGGCAGCAGTGGGCGTGTAGCGCGACGTCCATTACACTTAAGATCCCGGACCCACCAGCATTCCTTATCTTCTCTTATCTCATATCTTATCTAATCGATAGAAAAGTGCGGTCCGCAGATTATCCGACGATGTTGGTTTTGGGAATCGAGCGCACGGCCTTCCTTGGTGTATCCTCGCACCTAAGGACAGTGCGAAACCATTGTCAGGTCGACTTTTGCACCCCACTACAGCAGAGTCCTCCGACTTTTTTTTTTTCTTTCGGTATCGCGACCTTCACTTACACAGCCAGGTTTTCGAGGTTGGGAAGAGCCATTGCCGTCGCACCCCGACCTGAGACCAGCCAAATCTCAAATAACAGTGTCTCCGTAAGCTAAGGCTTTGAGAAGATACAAGATGGCTCCCACTTTCCGCATCCACCGGCCAGACGTTTTGGCATCGCTGCCGCGTCCCCTCGACCATACCAAGGGCCAGTACCACATTGGCGAAGTTTACACACAAAAGCCCGGATCCAAGAAGAGGAAGAGACTGGAAGTTGTTGTTGGCGTGGACGGAGAAGCAGCCAACATTTACCATGTAAGTAGCTGTATCGGGGGACCTCCTCAATACAGCGTCTAACAGTTGCTTAGGTGCCCTCGTCCGGTCTGCGAACATCGTACCCGAT